CAGGGACTGCAGCCTACGCCGTCGCCGGCGACTCATGGCAGCCCAGCTCCAGGTTGAGCTGTTGTTCAGCATCTTAGCTGTGGAGGGCAGTGTCACAGGCCCTCATATGTGGGATCCAAACCAGGGTCTTCTGGCGTCCCAAGCCAGCTCTTAACCAACGCGCCACTCGGCCGGCTCAGCTTGCTCATTTTAGACTATGAGCTTTTGTTAATATCTCCTGCATGAAATCTTGGCCATTCTCTCCCACCCCTTTGTGAGGACACAATGTCCTCACTCTAACTTTATTTTAGTTACATGTTATATTCAATCAGAAGATAATGCACAATGATTACATGTGTCTCAGCCTTGGCTCCCCAGTAAGACAGTGGAATCCTTCAGGAGTGCAAGCTATTGTTGGTTCATAAAGACTTTTTCTGGAAAGCTCCCAGCCATCTCTTAACTCATACTTTTATCTCCAATTCAACCTCACAAGACATATGACAAGCTAGTTGATTCAAAAGGTACATTACAGCAAATTGAAATGGTAACCCAAGCTTAGACCTTGGATCTCTATAAAAAACTTTCTTTTAAAACTGAATTCTGACATGTACCACAAATCTGCTTTTTACCCCCGTAGGCACTGTTTACCACCTGCTTCCTTCCCTACAGAAAGCTTTTGTCACAGTGCTCTAAAAGTCCCTTCTGACTTAACTAACCCTTTCCCCACCCCGGGAAACTTCTTCCCCAAATTTCCATCCTCCTACACCCTGTAGAACCCTCCCACAATTCACATTTCTCAAAAGAGTTCTCGTTTCTTCCTGTGTCTCTCCCCACCCCTCAGTCAATGAGACTTTTCTCCTCTAACACAAGAGTAAAAGATGGAGAAGATACAATATTAATTTCTGATTATTGAACAGAATGCACTTTATTAAACAGAAGCTGTGCTGTCAAGGCCAAAACCCAGTCCCAATGTGTGGAAGGAGGGCATGGGGACACAAATGGGAACTGGTGAACTAGAAAGGGGACTCAGTGGTACTTGTGGGCCAGAGCATTGGCAACATTGGCCACCAGCTTCTGCCAAGCGGCCTGCACCTCAGGGGTGAATTCCTTGCCAAAATGAGAAGCCAGAATAATCACCAGCACATTGCCCAGGAGCTGTTAGGTGAAAGACAAAATGACAAATAGGCATTTGGGTAGAATTTTCCAAAAAACGTTGTAGAAAAAATAGCTCAATACCTGTACTCCCTGCCAACTCTGCACCTTAAACCGCCCCAAAGTTTGTGCTCATACAATAAACTCAGATAACCTAGTCTCTAAATTCAATTCATTTTTTATGAGCCCTTTATTCAACATTCTGTCCACATATATCTACCCTCACTCCTATCTCACCATTTTTATTTACCTCTCTCCCTTTCTCATTTACCAATTGTCTAATTCTTATAATCACAGGACTTCAGGGCTTCATGGGCTCTCAGAGTGAATTTAGCGAAAGTCTCCAGCCAATATCAGAACAAGCCTCCA